GCAAACGGAGAGGTAATAATTAATGGACTACTTGCTTTAGCTTTTTGGTCCTTAGTGGCAGCTTGCATTAAATCTGCGGCTACTTTAGCTGAATTTACCTCATCTTTCTTAAAGCCCCAGAAGTAAGTCAAAATGATACCTAATATTAAAGATATTCCAGAGCTCATTATCATTGAACCAATCGGTTTATAAGACAACATAAAAATCGAAAAGATGTTATGGAAAACATACGATGTCATCATGACATGACATAATCCACTCACAGCACCACCAATTCCGCCAGCAATTGCCGTGATAATCATTAAGCGTTTGGATTGCATGATTAGACCATATAAAATTGGCTCGGTAACACCAGCAAAAATTCCTGTTACCGCTGTAGAGCCAGATACTTCACGCAATTTAGTACTATCTTTTTATGAAGAGTATACAGAAATGTTCCTAATGCAATCCCGATTTGTCCCCATACAGCACAAACATTGACACCCTCAACGACATCTCCACCAACACTTTTTAGGTTTTGTAACGTTATCGGTGTAAAACCCCAATGTAATCCCAAAACTGTCAAAAACGGATAGGCGGCACCTAAAACAAGACCTGCTATCAAGCGACTCTTCCCAAATAGCCACATAATTGCTGCTGAAATCCAATTACCAACATTGGTACCGAATGGACCAAATACTAAAACTGTTGCTGGAACCAATAATAATAAACAAATCATTGGATTCAAAAACAATTGTAATTGCCGGGTTTTTTTAAGCAGTTTATCAAGTAAGACATAAACCGCAATAATTACAAAAATAGGAAAAACCGTCATCGAATAATCGATTGGTTCTAGTCCTAGTCCCAACAGTTTTAACCCATGTTTACCAATCAAGCTGGTAAAATTGGGTTCCAATAAAGCTGCACCCAATGCTCCGCCGACAAATGGATCAGCCTTAAATTGTTTAGATAAAGTTACTCCTAAAAAAATAGGAGAAAATAGAATACAGAATTACCAGCTGCTGAGCAGACCAAATACAATGTGCTTGTAGGTGACAGCCAGTGCAATGTGGCTAATACCGTTAATAAAGCTTTTACCATGCCGGCACCTGCCATGATTGAAATCAATGGCAAAAAGGCGCCCGAAATTACCTTCGTTAAAGAAAACTTTTCTTTCTTATTTTCTTCGTTTTCATTACTTGGTTCTTGGACTTTTAATTCCTGCTGAATGACATCATAAAAATCTGTTACATTTGGGCCGATAACTACTTGGCATTGCCCACCACTTAAAACTACGCTTAAAACGCTAGGTAATTTTTCTAACTTATCTTTTTCTATTTT